TAGCAGAAGGAAATGTAGAAGCTAAAGTAGCAGAAGGCTGTGTAGAAGCTAAAAGTAGCAGAAGGCTGTGTAGAAGCTAAAAGTAGCAGAAGGGTTTGTAGAAGCTAAAAGTAGCAGAAGGCTTTGTAGAAGGTAAAAGTAGCAGAAGGAAATGTAGAAGCTAAAGTAGCAGAAGGCTGTGTAGAAGCTAAAAGTAGCAGAAGGCTGTGTAGAAGCTAAAAGTAGCAGAAGGCTGTGTAGAAGCTAAAAGTAGCAGAAGGCTGTGTAGAAGCTAAAAGTAGCAGAAGGCTTTGTAGAAGCTAAAAGTAGCAGAAGGCTGTGTAGAAGCTAAAAGTAGCAGAAGGCTTTGTAGAAGCTAAAAGAAGCAGAAAGCTGGCTAGAAAACAAGTAGCAGAAGGCTGTGTGGAAGCTGACAGGAGGAGCTAGCTTGAAGGTGCATCTGAAGGCTGGGTAGAAGCTAAAATTAGCAGATGACTACCTAGAAGCTAAAAGTAGTGGAAAGCTGTTTAAAAATTCAAAAGTATCAAATTCTAGCTAGAAACCAAAATTAGCAGATGGCTAGCTAATTGCTAAAAGTAGCAGATGGCTAGCAAGAGGGTTAAAGTAGCTGAAATCTGAGTGGAAGGTAAAAGTAGGAAAAATTGAAGCATATTTGAAAAAGCAAAAATGTTTTTGCTAAAGTTCATAAAGTGAATTATTTAAGAAAAAGTAAAATAGTTAAAAAGCAAGTCACAACATCCATCAGCTGAATGTCTTGAAGAGCAGCTAAAACAGCTAAAGAAACTTTCTGTTTTAATTTTGCAGCCAAGCGGACGAAGAAACAAGTGTTTGTGAGTTTCAGTCTGCCGATGAGCGACTCCAGCCTCAGTCTGCTGGTGGAGGACCGGATAAAGAAGGAGCTGGAGCTTCACCCTGAACACTTTTAACCATCATCATCATCATCATCATCATCATCATCATCATCATCATCGTCACCCCACAGTAAACAACACAAAAACAAGGACCAAACTTTCACATCCAGTGTTCTTTTATTGACATTATAAATTAAACGGTTTATTATCAAAAACATGTAGGCCTACGGCTTTTTGTACAAATGCATTTCTTAAAAAAATAACACTTAGAAAACAGCTTTAGTGGTTGAATTTTTGTTCTTTTCAGTTTTAGCTGCTTGAAACATACAAACTAGTGAACCAAACAGTGTTTTTCTGTAAATACATGTGACGTGTGCTAAATACGTTAAAAAAAAAACAAAAGTTTGGACCTGCTCTATATTTGCATACAAAGGATTTATTGTTGTGGTTCGTCTGGTTGATGTAGATTACACACCTCGGTCATAAAAGATTCGATAAGTGTATAAAAGTACACGTTCACAACTAGTCCAGGTTTATGCTCTAMCGTTTGTTTCTAAAAGAAGTGAAATATTGTGCTTTGTGTTCAGAGTTAAAACACCCAAGAAACATAACTAGAACACGACTACGGTACGAAGAAYGAGAAATTAAAACATCGGCTAATTCAGGAGGTAATCGCCTTTGGCAGCGTCACAAAAATAAATACTGGATCCCTTTTAAATCCAACGAGTTGTCTCTGTTAACGGAGGCGCCACCGTGAAACCCACCGAAACGCTGAGACGCGTCATGAGACGACACCGAAACGTCCGTTCAGCTCTCAGATTTATCCTCCGGTTGTCGGTGAAAAGCCGACGACCTTCATACCGGCGCCGACCTCGTATCTGAGGGTAACGTGCCTCGTCAGACCACAACCGAAGAACACTGAAAGGAAATTATTTGCTCTTTTCATGCAAAACTAAAAAAAAAAAAGCCCAAATCCTGGTTTTACCACGTTGGCTAAAATAAAATTCACAAACACTTGATTGTGTCGTTGACTTTTAGTGCAAAAATAACTTAGAAGATCCAGCTTCAACGGATCCAAACGACTAAAGTTAACTCGCCGCTCCTTTACCAGCCCGAACCTGTTTTTTTTTTTTTTTTAATAAAACACAGGTGCATCGCAGTAAATTAGAATATTGTRAAGTTAATTTATAGATTCTGGATCAGTTCTGTGTTGGGTGGACATATTCCTCTAGATTAGGCAGAGCTTTGAAGCTAATTAGAGGCTAAGTCAGCTATTGATCTGATTAATGATAGGCCGGCACCGCTAACTGAGTAGCTGGCCCCGCTAACTGAGAGGCCGGCGCTGGCAAATGAGGAAGAGACTATTCATTTGTGTTGGCATCAGAGAGGCTAGAAACTAGCATGGATAAGCTGCTGTTAGCATCGGGAAGGCTAGCGACTAGCATGGATAACCTTGCGTTTGCATCAGAGAGGTCAGTGGCTAGTATAGATAAGCTGGCGTTAGCATCAGAGAGGCTAGCGACTAGCATGGATAACCTGGCGTTGGCATCAGAGGTTAGTGGCTAGTATAGATAAGCTGGCGTTAGCGTCAGAGAGGCTAGCGACTAGAATGGAT